GATTAAAACTGATTAAACATTTTATAATAAATTTTTAAAAAGCAATATGGCCGGGCGCTTTATTTAATAATCGTCAACCATGTGCCACTAGAAGGGCCCGGAAGGGGTGGCTATTTCATTATAAAAGCACCTAATATGTGGCCACTGTTGCCTCCTATATAAAGGGACGGACAATTACAGCCATGTCTTCTCCGGGATTCGAACTCGGACTTATCTGTACGGCAGTCAGAATCACTAACCATCATACCGGCTGGGCGGTCCAAAACAGTAATATAATATGTGAGGATTTATTGACATTTTTCTATTCGTTTACAAAAGCCTGCACAAGAAGTACATTATCTAATTAATTATCTAATTGTACCTGTACTACTATATTTGTTAATCAGTAAGATGAATGTCAACTCTCAGTCACTGCGGAAATTAAGAATGGAAATAGTAATACGATTATTATTTTATCACCATAGCCTACAAAACCAAGCTCTTCAGTCGTTTGAAAGTGCCTGTTTAAGATTATTTGAAGTAACAATAGTTTCTTGAGATTATCTGTTTTCGAATTTTAATAAAGATGTTTAAAAGAGGCAAACAGTGTGAAATTCTTCATTTTGCATTTAAAGCTATTGCGCTACAAAGGAAATATATTTTCATATGAACAAGGTATATATTTCTGTTATGACGTTGTAAGTAATTCCTGCTGTAGGAAGTTTTAATCCTAGCCCCTTTTCATTCTTAGCGAGTTGAGGTCTAAGATGTCCTAGAATTATGAATAGAATTTTTAAGCAGAAAATGGTCTTTCTTTCTGACTAGAAATACCTTTAGTTAAATAATTACAGTTTTCGAGTCTGGATACCACATATTCTTTGCAACGAACTTTTCAAATGGTTAACATTCATACTTAAAAAAATAAAATACGTGCATACTTAGTAACTAAATTAAAAGATTTAAAGCAAGTTAGCATATTTTAGCTCAGAGAAACTGTCGGAAAAATGCTTTTGTGAGGGTTAATATTTTATTAACCTTTAAACCACTAATGTGATTAAAATCCAACGTTAAATCGTTGTATGTGTATTTTATACTGATATCAAATCATTTATTTAATTCTGAAGGGAAAATATTAATGGTGAAGAAATGAAACAGAAAACACAAAATTTTACCAAAAAAGTTGCTTAATTTTTGCACTGAGCGTGTTAATCAAAGTTGAGGTAAAATATACTGGTGGTCAAATTGCTTGAAATAAATTATTAACAATCAGCTTTCCTCATCAGACTCCTAATATTGTGAACTTTACGAGAGACCATACAAAGGAAAAATACTTTTAAGAGATCAAGCATGTCGTTTTACTTGACAGGTACTATAATGTACTTAGTTTTAGAGCGTTTCAAATTTCAGCGCTTCTAGATTGAAGTCAGACAGCCTGAAGATTGAAGTAAAGGAGTCTTTTTTACCCGAACTTATGAAAATATATGTTCTGAAATTTGTCATTTACTCTATATTTAAATTGTCGTATCTGTAGATTTCAAAACATCTGCAAGCTATGCATTAACAGATATATCTCTTCTGAAACGCGTTCCATGACCGAACGTTAAAAAGATTATAGTTAAAACAAATATTATATTTACATCTTTCTTTTTTATTGGGCTGTTATTAGTTTAATGCTTTTGAGAGAAGAAAGTTCCTATTAAGTAGCAATAAGTAATGATGTTAAAAACGATTATTTCAACAATCTCTCTAGGATAGCATCGGATAACTCCCGTATCGTAACCAATGAAATTGCTTCGAGGCCATAAATCAACGTCAAGGTGGGAAAAAATGTCTCAAGCAGCTATGGTTTTATCACTGATGAACATTTTTGTTACACATTTACTCACATTTTATGTTACCGTGTATAAATACATAGTCGCATCACACCGTGGTAATGCGGTTCATTTTATAGTTTATCTTACATTTATCGTCTTTCGACTGTGCCATTACACTAAGGGAATTCTATAAAATAGTTATTTATTCATCTGTTAATGTTACTCTTTGCGACAGTGACCAATAATCAAGATTTCTGTAAATTTTGAAAGAATTGGACGTTGCTGTTTTGGACTAGAATTCTCACTTAAGAGTGAAATACTCATTCATTTATCTTTTGTATCATGATAAAATATATAATATCAAATTAACCTAAATATACTGTGAAGCACAGATGAACGTCAATCAAATATATTACAAGATTATACATAGCAAGCTGATTTTACATTCTGGATAAATTTCTTTCCGTTTAAAGGAAAGAAACGCTTATCTTTCTTCATTTGAACTCATATCTAGCAATCATTTATTTCGCATGCAATAAATTAATAGTGTGTGTGTGTGTGATTATGGCAAAACCTCGAGGGCTATCTGCCTAAGAGGAGGGATGCATTCGTGGAGGGCTTTCTAAGAGAAACTAGCTCGTATACACGTTACACATGGGGAAAACCACGAAAACGCCCATGCAGCCAGACCGTTCGCGGGATTCGAACCTCAGACCGAACTACCAGTCTTCAGCGATTTTACCGCTCGGCCGCTGGTGGACACAATAAATTAATAAATGAACAGCTACACAGGAACTTAATTTTTTAGTTTTAGGACATCTTTTCTCTGATGATTTTTTATTTCTTGCGATGTATATCAAAGTAATTAACGTTCAATTCTAGCATTCATAAACTGAAAACACTATTTCTTGCTTTTAGATAAACATACCTATTAGAAATTTAATTATAATATTTTATTTATAAAACTCAAAACAATTGTTTGCAATAGTGACATTCACAAACTTTGTGGGCTTATTTATTTTATTGCTTGACTTTTTCGTATTTATTTACTTTACTTTACTTTTTCGTATTTATTTTATTGCTTGACTTCACTCAAAGTAATATTTTACGCATTGCTTTGTATACAAATGTGTGCAGTTATTGGCCTACAAAAATTGTATATGGGTATTCTTTCATTAAGAATTAACAATTTGGCAATATTAATTTATGCATGAGATTAAAGAAAGAAAGATTAATGATATTCTTAAATCAGTTAATCTGGTTAAAAAAGAAACAAAGAAGATATGTGGGTTTCTTTATCATGAGCATAATAAGCTACGTCATAAACTTGAAGCTTTTGTTATATTTCAATCAGATTTCGTATTTGCTCACGTGGCACTCATGAAATCAAGCACGTTTAAGTCATTAAACGGCAAATCGAACTAATCCACGCAGTTATATATTGTAATGAATTTATTTTAAGATAGTAATTAATAGTTGAAATACAATCCTATTTTATTCCGAAATTAATTTAAATAATCACTTCACACCAAATTTGCAAATAATACAGCAAAATAAATTAATATAAATAAATAAATGTATAATAAATTTTACTTTATCAGAATTCCTTAAAATTAAACCAACCTAGACCTTTAACAGTTAGACCACACATTCTAACGTCCACTACTCATTAATTTATCAAGCATGTCATGTCTGTACAGTAACACTAGTCATCAGAAGTTGCAAGTTCATGACGTCGTAAAACGAAAACTTGCCAATTAATGGTTATTAACGATGACTTAATGGCATATAAATTGCGCTGCAATAATTTTCGAATGTCCGGAATCCCACAGTACATTGTGGAAATAACTACCTTTAGTATGGATGGATGACCTTTAAATTAACCCTCAATACCTCTAACGATTCTCTTGTTGGAATACTAATTAATATATACTTTAAAAATTGTGCGTTGCTCATTAATTGACATTTACAATAATTAATGGTACTCTTGATGTTTCGAACTTATTGAATAACAACTGTATCCTGTATGCTATAACTATGTTCTTAGTACACTGTTCGAGATATAACTCGCTTAAAACTATGGCTTCTAGAACCTTTGTTATTTGCAAAGAAGCTGATTAAGTAGCACACTTACGCAGCAAGAAAAGACGAACTAAATTTCTGAATCATATCCCTAACATATAAATTAATCTTGATAAAACCTTCCGATTTTAGGTTCATAAAATAATAAATCCTCCGGGTTTATTGAAAAGTTGTACTCTAAGAGTGTATATCCATTATTATACTTTTTCCAATGAGAACGGCATGGATAATATTACAAGAAATTCTTTGTTATCAGGAAATTTATCATCTTAGCAAATAGATGATAATAACTAACTGGATACTAATACGGAGTAAATATATCATGCGTTTGGCGCATCGAAACCTTTTAGGTTGCGCTCCAGGAATTCCGCCAACGCAGATCCTAATAAGAAATTGCAATGGATCTTAATACAAACGGGAAACAAAGATCTTAACCATTTTCAGCTTCCTAATCCAGCATTTAAATAAGTTGATAGGAAGACTGTCTAGACACAGTTACTGTTACGATGAAACGAGATATGTATTATATTTATCAAAATTGCCAAAAATTGTCTCAATTGAGAAAGACTCTCTTTGGGTTAAGTGTTGTGATTTGATTGATGGTTTTCTCTAAATTGTGATGCCGGAGAAAGAATGAAGATCTGATTACATTCACGGACATTACTTTCTTAAGATCTTGCAGACGTCGAAATGGCTGATGGTGTATATTTATCAGAAGACACGTTGAGGTTTCAAACGGAACTAATTGAACTGGTTTGCAAAGTACGTGCTGTCTCAATTCACATGTGAAGCAATATAAATAACCCGAAGAAGGCCGCACCTTGACTCTAATAACTATAATTCACTTATTTTATCTATTTCAATGCATAAATTATAAATTATATTTTCCTCAGAGTCTACTAGACAAACTTGGTAACTGTTCCAAATAGCAAGATATTGTAATAAGAAGGTGATAAATTTTAAGTAATGTCTGTTACAATTCAGATCCACTACTCTCACTTTGAAAAAAAAGTATGAAATTTTGTTTATTTAGCTCATACAATTATATCTCAGGTTATAGCCAAATGTCAAAAAAGTATTGTTATGATGAATAGAAGTTAAAATAAGATTTTTTTTTATTTGCAGGTTGAGGCCAAATCTGTTTCTTTTAAATGGCTGCTTTATATGTTCACTATTTTTCCTGGAAATTCTCTCACGTAAGTAGTTATATTATTAAGCTTTTTTACTATATTTTATAGGCTGTAAAAATTACAATGTTTCTTCACGCAAATGGAGATAAACTGCTAGTGTAGAACCATAAATTAGCAGTTTCTTTCACTTGAATGATTTCTTTTCCTTCTAATTGTCTTGTTACTCGATAACAAAGTGGCCAAACGTCAAAACAGCAGTGAACTGCTTGCTGGATTATTAAGCGCTTGCCCATTATTTTTAACAAAAAGTAGCCACACCTGTACAGAATTTGAAAACCTTTAGATAATTTTTGTAATTTTCAGTTATTACCAAAGCATATAGGTAATACAAAAAAGTAGTTAAGTATCTAAAGCTATTAATAATACAAAAGAGATGTTTTTACTTCTCTTAGGTTTTTAATTTTTTTCAAGGAATTAAATGCAGATACAAGTAGAAAAAAAAAATGAAAGTAGCGTTTTAATTGTACTAAATGAGATTATCAGAAAATTAATTTTTGTATATATCATTTTATTAGTAGTCACAACAATATAAAACATTTTGAATTATATAAAGTACAGTTATTTACAGTTTGGCTTTTCCTAAGAGCATAAGGAAATAAAACGCAAAACTAACAGATCCACAAATAGGAAAAACAGAAAAAAATATTTCCATCTTTATGGCTTTGTTTACCATAATAAATGCAGCAAATCTAAGAGGAGGAGAGGGAGCCCTGCTCTATTATTGGGTTTAATCTCTTTATTTGTGGATTTTCAGAATTATAATAATTTCTGCTAGAGTTCTTTGCGCCTGAAACTTACAGCGATTAGAGAGGAATGCAGAAAATTTTCTTTAAGTAATAATTTCTTCTACAGTTTGGCATTGGATTGAACTTACAAGCTTTTACATCTCATTTTGCTATTATAAACATTCCTTTATGTTTTATTTATATTACCTTATTTCAATGGCTTACATTTGCATTCTCTGATATAGCTTTTAATTTGATAGGAAGATTAATAAAATAAGCTATTTTTTGTTTTCAGTAATGCAATCGATGATTTTTCTAACTTAATTTGAAAATATTTGATAAAATCTCTATTCTCCAATTGCTATAATTCCAGTTACTGGATATTAATCAGAATCGACTGCGTTTAAAGCCTTTTTTTTGCTTAAATACCAGAATGAAAATTTAAACCTGTGTGTGTGTTACCTTCTTTGCTTTGTATCAAAACAATTAGATTTCTTTCTGAATCGTATCACGCAGTTTCTCCCTCAAGCAAAACTTTGATAATCAAATTAAAGAAGTGATAAATTGTGTGTAGAAAATGTTACAATAAAAAATATAATATTTCAGTTTCTGTATATTCCTGTTTTTCTAGGTAAGCTTATTCCCTTTATATTCAAAACTCTGGGCCTTTTAAATAAAGAAACTCACCACCTTTCTTTATGTACCTCATATGACAGGTTGTATCTTAGTATCAAAATTTATAATAAAATTATAGATCTTTTAATATCTTGAAACTTTCACCAAATTGATAAAAACTTATGTATGGAAAAGTTAGGGTAATTAAGGAAAGGCATTGTAAAAGCTCTGTTTAATTAAAAAATGAGGAGAGAAATAATAAAATAGACTAAAAATTGATATAATATTACATAATAATAAAGGATTAAACATTAAAAATGTGTAATCTTTCTTATAATTTTTAACACCGCTCTGCAGGTAAACTAAAATGTTTTATCCCTCTATTAGAATGCTTTTTAAACTTATCACAATTAAGTTTTATCAGTATTAACAATTTGCATTAAGCATAAAAAAAGATACTGAAAATGCTTTAAACAGCAATGAAAGACATAGGTACACATTTTCAAAGCAATTAGTTTTCCTGTGCTACTTAAATATGGATGGATAATTTAAGTCACAAGAGTAAAATCGAAATTGAATGCAGATATAAGATAATAAAAACACTTTAATAATAAAAAAATTATAGTAATATAATTTTTTCGGATATCCTTCAACTTTTAAATAATACACAAAAATTACAGAAAGTAATAGATTGTCTTCTGGATAATATAATAAACTTCTAAAATTATTTCCCGTACTGAATAAAACATAAGCTGTAAATTATTCCTCGAAATGTTAAAAGTAGTGGCAGATTGCGTTATCCACAGAGAAAATGTTACGCTTTTTCCTCGCAAACTGCTTATCTCTTTCCTTTTAATCGGTTACTGAAGAAGTCTCTTGTCATCCATGATTTTGTATTCGATACATAATCAACTGGCAGTATTCGAATTCCTTTAAAACACAGTAGATTCTTGGACTTTCCAATCACTAATAATTTAAACTCTTTGCTCCCGTCCAATTTTAGCACAAACTAAAGTTGTAATCCTCTGTTTACTGCTTTAACCTCTTATGCAAGCATCGCCTTTAAAATGTAATGGCAAATGTGCATAAAAAATGCAGTTTCGTCCGCATTAAAGATATATTTTAGTAGGTAACTAGAGAAAAGCCAAGGCAGTTTGCTACCGAAGTTAGTGCATAAGTTTTTGTTTACATCAGACCTTTGGCCACATACAGTTTAATAAGAAATATTGTACCTTGATTTAAATCCAGAAAGCTGTTCACCACTGAATTAAAAATTTTCAATACTCATTCGACTTCGTCTACAATAGGAGTCCATTTATCTGAAAATTTCGAAATCTAGCCTGCTGTAGCCATACCAATAACCCTTTCCGGCACAGTGAGCCGCCCAGTCTGGGCACACCCAAAAGATTCTCCCTGTACAGACAGAAAAATTAGTGGAAAAGGCTTTATAGGTTACTTTTAACCTTCTTTATTAATATTAGTGGCAGCACAACACAAACAAATCCATACATTTCAGCCATGTATAGTTTTTAAAGACTCTAATTTTTCAAAGAACTTATAAGGTATTTCTTCCGCCTTCTTGCCATGCCTTCGTGGTGTGGTGGTCTGCACGCTGGGCGCGTATTCCAGAGGTCCGCTGTTCGATTCTCGGCGAAGGCGTTTGCTCGTTTCTCATTTCTCCTGCTTCCAAAATAAACCTAATGACTTTACAAATGGCGCCCGAACTAAAAGGATGTTTGGATGATGATTCTTCATACCCAGGATTTGGCGACTGGGTCCCCTAAGACCCCAGTTGCCCTTTAAAAGGGGGAGTATATAAGGTATTTCTCCCGCCTTCGTGGTGTGGTGGTCTGCACGCTGGGCGTGTATTCCAGAGGTCCGCGGTTCAATTCTCGGCGAAGGCATTGCTAATTTTTCACATTTCCTGTTTCCAAAAAGTCCTAATATCTCTACAAACTCTTCTAGACGTTTTTAGGATATAAAAGGAATTGTTTGAAAACAAATTTCTGTGTTATTTTCTTGGATGTATGGTGTTCTCTTTATTCTATATTACTTTTAATTTTTACCTTGAAATCTCGCCTAAAATCGAACGACGAATCCCTTTCCCCATAGTGAGATCTCTGAAACACCAGGACCAGACCAACATCTGTATCTTTGTTTCACTGCAGTATATTTTCTTCCGTGAGCCCATTAACAACCGAATGGTGGGTGCACATCTGTGTTTCATTTCCTGTTTTATTTTATTTATTTATTTATTTTGGGGTGAGAGGGGAGGTTTGATTATGAACTAAGAAATTGTTGGGATGTTTATCTGAATGTTAGGGGTAATTTTATCAGTTAGCTCTTTGATTTTGACGGTAATCAGAATCTAGTGTTTTTCAATCGTAGGCAAAATCTTTTACTCTATTACGGGGCTTCCCAGCAATGCTCGTTTCAGCGTTCTTTTCGAAGTTCCATTCATTCAGTAAGCCTGCTTCGAGCAAACCCATAGAATTAAAATGGTAAGTGCTATGTTTACAAAATTTTTACCTATACCTCTTGGCGTGATTAGACTGTTTATCATTATTTTTTCTGAAATTCCAGCATCAAAAGATAGCGTTCCGGAAAGAGGTAAAGCCTTTTCTAGATCTTCTTGGGACGCATTTGTCATGTGTCTCCCTTCCTCTAGCAAACTTTGGTTTTTCCCATAAATCTAAAATTGATTCCTAGTTTTTCAAATAAGTTGACAAGGTACTTTTCTTAATTTCATTTTAATTTCATAGTCAGCTGCTAACTTCATTTTACAGAATCTGTATTAAAGACTCATCTTTACAAAATTCTATGAAAACTGATAACTAACAAACAAATTATTCTCCCCCTACTCCTGCCCTTTCATAAATGTTCTGAATGAATCCAAGGAAGGCATACCTTACGTCAGGGAGTTTTGTCCGTTAAGCATTGATAAGAAGTGGATAGTAGGACAATAGCCACCATCCTTTGGCGAAAATGCAGGCATGTATTTGTTTATTTTAAAGAATGCAGGCATGTATTTCTTTACTCGGGAAAGAAACACAGATGATTTTGAAACTGAAAATAATAAATACAGCGTGTATGTTCTATGAGACGGTTTCTCTATGAGACGGTGGATGAAGAGAGGGATGATATCACAAATACCAATAAAAGGTTTTAGGGAGGCATTTGAATTAACTAATTCAAAGCCAGTCTTGAGCTTATTCAACGATGCGTTAAACGAAGAAAAGAATTTTTTTTTTCAAATGTTTAATTCGAATTAACCGAAGTGATTAAAATTTCGTTCGAATTAATAATCTATTTTTAACATTAATACTTTGATGTATGGGGACGCCAACCAACAAGATGTATAGAGGGCGCTGGCTCTTATTTTGAAGGCGCCAAAGGTTTTAATTTCCAAGAGGGTTCTCGACAGAGAGGTCATAGGGAAGGCTCGTGGGAGCCATTAATGAAACCGACATTAACTTTTATTACTTTATATATATTTCAGTTATTAGTATTGTAGTTTTAGTATTAGTTTTATGTTTGTGTAATAAATGTTAAAAATACAAAAGGGTAGAGTTATTTCTCTATGAGACGGTGGATGAAGAGAGGGATGATATCACAAATACCAATAAAAGTTTTTAGGGAGGCATTTGAATTTACTAATTCAAAGCC